ACGCGCGAGGAGATAGCAGCTCGATCGCGTGGTTGTGGCGACGCGTAATTATGCGAAAAATGATCGCGCACATCACTCCGTGGCATACGTGCCGGCAGCTCGAACGATAATGCGAAGCGCGTAACGTCCTCTGACCGTGCGGCGGCCGCCGGCGCGCGGCGGCGCGGCGGCTCGACGTAAACAATCACCGAGCAGTGCGCGGGTTTGAAAAACATTGAAATAACTTTAACGAATAATGAAAGAAATACGCCGTACATGCTCCGTTGATTTTCACGGATAAACAGCTATCATTCTGCGTCGGTAACGGTTGGTCGTTGAGATCGTTGGGAAGTCTTTATTTCGATTATTTAAACGACACTCCTGAACGCGACGAAAATGGAAACTTAATGTTATATGTACGCGCAATTTTATACATAATGTTAGAGAGATTATTTCTCGGCAAGCGATCGATTTATTGTAATTTTTTGTTATCATTTTACCCGACGACTCGTGTATTACCTTGCGCTTTTGATCTGAAAGTGATAAATGTTTATTTAAACCGACGAAAATTTTAAAGCACAACGTGAGAAAGATTCACCCGAGTTTAATTGTTAAAATAGGTATTATCGCCCGTGGATGTATCGAAACTAACTAATAATTTATATATGTAATTCCTCTTTCTCTTACAATTATGCGTGATACTATATTCATCTCGACGATCACCGTAGAAATCAACGATATGCAATTATGGATCGCGACAATTACTTAAACGCGATTGATAAATGTTAATAACTTTCGAACGAGACGATCGCGTTACGGTCCTCGATCCAGAAACGCGAAAGCCTCTCGCGCAAGATATGTTTTTCTCATATAAAACTAAGTATACTTTTCCCAAAATAAGACATAGAACTAATATACATATATCTTTCCATGATCACGACGCTACATATTCTATATTATTAGTAAGGATTTGTGTGTTAAAATTTACAGAATAAAATGTTGATTTTATTCTATATAACATAAGTAAGAGTGACTTCGAACGATCGTGTATGTCGATCGAGTCAACTTACCCGCCGGAAATATCCGTGGCTACATAGTTCAACACGTTTGTATACACCATTGGGGCGCCAGTGGACGGCTTCTATTTAAACTGCATGTCCTCCATCAAACTTCCCTCTAGTTACGAAAATTTCTTTAATGTTTAGTAAAATTTAGTTTTTATCTCATCGACGTTGAAATTTATTTTTAATCAACAGTTTTCTCCAAAGTTGTTTAACTCAAAACTTTTTACAACGTGTATTTAAATATGCATTATCTCAATCATATTGAACATACTGTCGTAACATAAAAATTATATCTGTGATCTAACGCACCTGCTTATTGTCGAAAATACGGTGTACGAGCATCAATAACAATAATGCTAGTCAATACTTCAACATTATTAAATTTATTTTTCGTTGATATCCGATTTCAATTTTAAATTATTATTATACACATATTACAATAAATATAAAGCATTTACTAGATATACCCAGAAAGATTTGTGTAATTTCTTTTACTCTCTGCAGATGCAACAGATTAATAGATTCAATTTTTTCTGTCCGTAAATTATTGTGATATTTGTGTCATAAAACATTTCTTACTATAATTTTTACCATTTTTCCTGTCTTTATAAAGACTTTAACAATATTTCGTATTACGATAAAATATGTACGCGATTGAAGTGCCGTAGCGTCTGCTAACACTTGCTTTACTGCGCATGTGAAAACATCCCCCTACAACCCCTTACACTGGGCAAGACAGAACAGGTTATACATCGTTATTGATCATAGACATAACATTGCTGATAGTATTAAAGGAATACTACGAAAATATGATTGCGTGGTGACTAGCAACCGTATATTTTTTACAAGTAAGTAAAGGTACCTATTATTATTAAATTAATTTATTAACATAACAGTATAATTGCATTCAGAACACATCAGTTTTGAAAAATTAAATATAACCTATATTCCATAATTCTAAGAGTCAAATCAATTATTTTATGTTAGTTATAAATTTATAATCAGATATAAATTTATTATAAATTAAATGATCTTGTGTTAAAACTCACACACATATCACATTTATCACTAATTACTATTATTGAAATAAATACATAGAACACGTGAAAAAATAGTACTTTATTAAGATAATATAAAGAAAAGAATCTATTAAAATAATATAAAGAAACAAATAAGGTGTAAGACCAAATTGTAAGGCATCCTCATAATCATTACACTGTGTAGAGACCATCATAATCATTACACTGAGCCTAATATTAGGAAAGATTTTCATTGTTTAAAGGTTATTTAAATTGTACGAGAGCAATAGACGTTCCAGTAAATAACTTGTAAACAATAGAAATCTTCTGGTTAGATTCAGTACAGTATAATGATTACTAGGATACCTAATAATTTTGTCAAGTGGCATCTGTCCTGAAAGTATCTATCTATCTTACACAATAAAGGGAATGATAGAAAATCTATTTGCCTTTTAACATGATCATACGTACATAATAAGGAATTTATAAAGTGTATTAAGTAAGGATATTGATATTGTGCTTAAACACTAGCTTTAAATTTTATATTACGACTTTAAGATTTTATCTTTCTTTTCAGACCCTACTATTTCAGATGAGTGCAAGAACGCGTTTACATATATGATCATCGAATATGTAAAATGGAAAGGCTGACATGTGATGTGCACAATTAGGGAAAGATTTATATTTTATAAAAACAGATTTGAATACACGACAAATTTGTAAACTTTTTCAGAGATATATACTGTATCTGTGTACATACAACGAAATGTATACGTCTGTGTAAATGCGAATGGAACGTCGAAGAAAATCTCGTGGAAGCAACTAAATGTATGCGAAGTGTACAATTATCAATTCAAAGCACATTTCATAAATTAGATTTTCCAAAAACAAGAGTTTGGGATTTATAGATATCGATGGTATACGTTGAAATAAAGGTAGAATAATAAATAAAGTTTTTAAAGTTTTTAACTAAACTATATTTGTGTTTTCAGTATTTGTATTTTGTATAATTATAGATAATGCGTATCATTTTTATTTAAATTTGTAACAACCTTATTTCGTAAAATAAATAGTAACTCTTGGGACATCTCGTACACAGGTTGTAATTGATCTGTACAAACTTTGAGAATGAGTTTCATTTAGCAAAACAATAAGAAGAGCTATGTAAACATAAATCCTGAAAGATTTTGTTACATGGATAATAATGGATAGTAATTAAAAAATTAGAAATTGCATAACTTTTTTACCGTTAATCTTAACACAACAACTGTAAATCTGAAAGAATATGTTAAAAATATTCTTTTTGAAACTCTACATAAGCTTTTGCATATTTATACATGATTTTACACATGCAATAAAAAGTAGTAAAAATGTTACGCCCTATTGCGCAATCGTTAAAAGTTTATTGTCCTCAATTAACTATATTAGTGAAAGTTGAATAAACTAGCCATTTTATAAATAACTCTGTACATATATTTTATACATAAAAACCGAATGGATTTAAATTTGGTGAGCGTAGGAGCCATCTTGCTAGCAATGAGCTTTCTCACCTTATTCAGTGATCTTTATAATTTTACCTTTGAAAGGCTATATCTTTGTAACAAAACCTTTTAAAACCTGTTCATATGACCTTTTGTTGTTGTTTGGTATAAAATCTGTATATTCTTCTGGTATACCTCTCACGTAGGAGATTATTGTCAATGATGGTTTCTTTTTATTTAAATTTATATACCATATCTACATGAATCCTTACTTGTATATACTGCTTCTAATACTGCTTCGTGATCCCGTCATTTTATGAGTTTATGAATACTTAATAATTAAACAAGTAATTTATTAAGTGGTTATATGACACTATATTGTATATCTATATAATGATAAAAGTTTAACATAATTATTTGCAAATTAAATTAAGGTAACAGAAACTACGAACTAATTTTAGTATTAAAATTTTAGTACGAATTGTGATAAAATTATAGCACAAACCTCAGCTCATTGTCCCTATTACCTTTCTGTGATTTGTAATCCGTTGTGCCCTTGATAGAATTTTTTAATTTTAATTTACATATTTGAACTTGTGTAATTTTTATATTTTCATTAAAGATATTAATTGCAATTTCTGGCTTTATAACGAATTAAAAATTAGGCAAAAGCGTACTTATTATGCGAAGAAGAACATAAGTTACCGCTAGTTTCGACATTCCAATAGAAAATACAGAAAATTATCGAGAAATTAATTAGGCAACATGTCGTATGATATTTGAAGACAGATTGAAGAAATCGCGATTTTTCTTGGACGTCACGGCATAAAACGGCAATGAATCGTGAATATCATCGTCATTACCGTAACAGGTGGTGTGTACTCACGAAATCTAACGTTCCATAATCTATTTATAGATCTTACGATAAATGACTTCGCGCCACTGTGAAACAGCTGTAAAAAATGAAAAGTATATCAAAGTGACGATGAACGCTGACGTGTATCGACATTGTTTGACAAATATAAAGGTGATACTTCGCAACTACTGTCCGTGGAAACGATAATGAAATTGTACAAACGTGAGTCTTATCTCTGATGAAAGATGTACGATGTAAGAAGCATCTCAATAAACGTTCGTGCGTTCCTCCCAAAGGTTATTCGTACAAAGCCAACTTCTATGCGTCAAATTTGATGAATTAACTGCAAGATATTCAGTTCACCGATTGTTCTGAGACTTGCAGAATGGCAGTTACTGCGTCACGGTTGAGGATTCTCCGATGATTCTAACGATGAAAAACAGTACGTCCGGCCGCTCTTGTGGTAATTTTAGTTTGGCCATTAAACACCGGGTACTTTAATGCGCGTAGTTACGGCAGTTAGGTCAAGTAAACGAAACCAAGCAAAGCCGCATTCTGCCGTAAAGATCATCACACCTAAATATTTACAGCACCGTCTGTTGAATGTCTCATTGCACTTGATCGTTATATCGACATACAGGTCTTCGACATAATCTTGCTATCATGTGCAAGAATTTCCGAAGGTTACGTTTCTAATTAGTAAAATACCAAAACTATCGAGCATCCAATGTCTTTTGTTGCAGCTCACGACAACACGGAGTTATCCAACAATTCAATCCACGGCTCCAGACTACTGCGGCTAGCCGTCTACTAGAGATCGCAGCGAGTTTGAGAATAAAGCTGAGCGAATTATGTTTTGCAACGAACTATAGAATGACTGTGTTTTCATGATGTTAAAATTATGTTAAAACTGCTCGAATATCGCACGACCCAGGTGCATGCTTCAATTTTTTACCACTAACGATAGAGTTTTCATGAAAAGATACTTTCACATTTCTGAATTTCTTTTCAGATTACATTTATGTTGCAGGAAAGCCGAGGAAACGATTGAGATGCTGAAAGTTATCCGCGAGTGTCTGATATCCGAATGGAGTACTCGTGATAATTGGTGAGGAGTAAATGTCGTTCCATAATAATTTTGATTCTTAGCAAAATGAAGCTATAGGAGAACTGGATGATGGTACCAATGATACCGTTCTCCGTTCATCTCAAGCCTTAATCATCTCATTTCCGAGTTAGATAAATTATTTAGAAGTAGGAAGACCACCCGCAGTGAGATTTATATTGCGAAGTACGTTAAAGAGGAACGATGCAACAGGAGAAGGTGTCACCG